TTTATAGAGATGAAAAGCAGTGAAATATTTCTAAGACTTTTTTTTGGTTCGAAATTGGATGTGCTTAACCCAAATCTTTTTCCAAAGGATAAACTGTAAACCATTATTAACAATATCATTTTGGTGAAATATTTAAAGTTAATTCCTTCCAGTTAGTTTTAGTTGGGTATAATATAACTTAAATACTGACTATATTACTCTTGATTTGAAATTTATAACTGAAGTTTTTAGAGTTTTAAAAAACTCATAGATTAGAAAGAGGCACTCTACTCCTAATCTCTTTTAAATCTAATCTCTTTCTCTCTTCGAGAGTACTCTCTGCTAAATGTGAAACATCATTTAAAATAACCTTATCGATTATATTACTGTTAAGTATTTATAAAAAACAATTTGTAATACATGTGAAAGAACTTTAATAACAACAGTGTCTATTATATTGTAGTAAAGAAAGTAAAAAGCATATTATTCTCATCGAGCTACTGCGCCAAGCTTCTTCCTTTCTGCGCTATATGGTATTCCTACGATTTCGGTATGAACGATGGTATCGATGTTTCGTTTATTTGGTAGGAGAATTGATTTCCACGTTTAGAATTTATTTTTAGTGTATTTTTCTTAATATTTTTAAATATAGAGAATTAATTTTTATTTAATTTACCTTAATATATATGTTTTCAACTTTCTTTCTTCTTTTAAAGATAACTCAACTAAGGCTATTTGTATGTTCAATTTTGCAAATAATGTCCGATAAGAAAGAAACTAGATTTGAAATGGTTGAAAACATAATAAAATTCTCTCCTTAATGCAAAATGCATTGATCTAGCTATTATCACTACGTTGTTCAAATCAAATTTATTGGGACATTCTTATCAAGATTGTCCGTTTGGCTGAAAGTCAGGATTACTACTGTGTATAGAAACACCAGACTTTTGTTTTCTGGAAGTCTCGTGTACAGAGTTAGTCATGTACGGTACAGGGTCAAGGTCCCTAGTCATGGTCATGTTTGGCCAAGGAAAGTAAGAAAGATTTAGGAGAGCAGGTATTTAAAATGTCAATCTTAGGAAATTTGTTTGCCTAAAGCAGTACACACTAGTAGAATATGTTGAAACTAATCAGCTGTACATTAGAAATCACATTCCAATAGTAAAAATTTAATGTACTCCTACCTGTTTTATTATCCTTATCTGTTTACTTTATTGTATCTTCTATTTTCTATTTTCCTAATGATAGTATAACACTTCACGACTTTTCAAAGTGCTTTTATGGGCTTATTTTTTGTTTTCCTGTATCAGCACCTCTTTTGGGCGTACGCGTTCTGCATCATCAGTGTTTATACTGTTGGAGCAGCGTTCGGATAACACTTATTGAGCCAAGTTCTTGCTACCACGGTATTTTCTTTCATCGATTAGTATTGATTATTCAAAATTGCTTTGAGTTCATTATTTTGAAAATATAAAAACCATACATTACCACATATTGGTTTTCATATCTTCTTCACCATATGAGATAAAATTTATCTAACAAAATTATCGGGTCAAATTATTCCGTATATAGTACGGTCATATATTTTTGAGTGTGCCCCTGCTGACTTATTAGTCATTGTGTTATGCAAATTTTTATTGTTCTTATTTTTTTATTTATTTATTTCCTTTTTTCTTGCCTCAAGAAGGAGTGCAATGCCTAAGCACTGACCACAATCCGGCGCCCCGGAAAGCGAGTGCCCGACTCTCACGGACTAAATTACTTCCCTTCAATCCTAAAGACCTTGTTCTACCCCGTAAGTACGTTAGTATTATTTCGAGGCAGGTTCCCTATTAGTCACTTAAGACTTCTATCGTTGTGACCTGCATCCAGGCCCCGCTACTGCTGCAGGTTATCAATCTAGCCCTTCATATTGTCATTACTTCTCACCCATACAAAGGACTAGCTGAGAGAGCAGAGCGTCAGCCGTCTTGCTCCAACGCATATTTGCTTGGAGTATTCTTATTTCATATATATTATGTGTTATGTATATTAATGATGCTTCATTTCATATATCATATTTTTGTGAAAGGATATCGTAGTTAGTATCTTGTGTGGTTAATATTTTCATTTTTGTATTGAAATCAAGAATTTATTTTTGATACTTGTACAATCCATGTTTAATATAGTTTTAATATATAACAGAGTAGTCTTGTATAATTATGATACTAAATTTATTTCACTTCAGCTGTTTTCAGTGCAAAACATTGAAATCATCAGCCCAAGTGGCATTTAAGAGCGAACATTTGCATTCATGAAACCTACGGCGTATTTTTAATGAACATTATTTATTGTTTAAAAATGCAAATAATTGCAATTGTCGTGCTATGTGCAACAATTTTTTAATATTGCCAATTTTTAATTTATTTTTGTTGCAGCAATTTAATTTCGTTAATAATATTTATGAAATAATGTTTTTTTTGTTTTTCGTTGGAAGTCGCGATTCGCTGCCAGCGAAGGAACGTGCAAATATTTCAACGCAATTGTGCGTATTCACACTGGTCCGCTCTCGTCAAATTATAATTAAATATTTAATTTAACTTAATTAAAAACATCGTCAAAGCGCTTTCATAATAACATTGAAAAAATAATTTGCAATTATTTGCAAAATTTATTTGTTTGAACGTTTTTTGCCTACAATTAAGTATTTTTAATGTATAATTATTTATTTTAAACTCAGTTTAGTTGGGTCCATATGCGAATAATTGGGTGGAAGTGTTTAAATTCCCTAAAAGAAATTATTAAATAAATTAATATGATTCCCGTATATGCAATCAATTGCTATAAATACACAAAATTAATTTATAACTTATTTTAATAATATTTTGTTTGTTTAAATTCTCTACCAATTATTACAATTACAGTAAAATAATTTTAATATGAAAGTAAAACATTTATTAAAGATAAAACACTAAACGTATAGAAATAAAGCACGATTTAAGATATTATACAGGGCTATATATAATATTTTAATATAGAAACGTACTTGTGATTGAGATTTTGATTTGTTTTTCAATACGTTTATTGCTTGGACCTTGAACCATACAATACAATATCTAGTTGTAGTGTTCAGAATTGATCGAATAGAAGACTTTGTGACACCCCCTTATTATTAACAAGATAGTATATACGTAACTTAGAACCAAATTAAATGCTCCAACCTATATTGATATTTTGTGGATGCAATGAGCTTTCGATAGGTGCGTGTGAATTTTAACTATTCAAGATTCGCAAATTTTGTTTCTGGACATATCCACCAAACGTCAGATCATCACTAAATTTTTAGAAAGATTTCACAATTTCAACACATTAAGCAGTTGTACAACGATCCATATTGTAAAATGATGAATCTTATCCTTGGACGATGGCTTTGTTTGACATACCATATGCCAAATTTAGATCACAAAATATTATATATAACCCTCTCTTTATTTATTTATTTTTTTGTTTATTATTTCCTATGTTCACTACAGATTTGTATTGATACTAAATGGTTTTTTTAGAAAGGTATTTCAAAGTGGAAGTGGAATGAAATGGATACCAAAGACTATGTATTATCAGATTACTTCTGTTTTTTTTCTTTTAGTTTTAGTTTTAAATAAACAATTGTCTATTTGGTAAATTTGTAGGTATGTGACGCTTGATTCTTTTAGGTACCTATTGTAGTTTCTGTGATCGAAATTTTTATCATAGCTCGATTTAAGTACATAAATAAGCGGTTCTCGTGTTTTACATATTTGGATGAGTTTGGCTTCTGTGGCCATATTGCGATCCTAGTATATGTCTTCATTTAGAATATATCAATCAGCATTAATGATAGTGAGGAAGAATAATGAAGAATTTTGGATTTTAATTCTTTGAATTATTTTGATATTTGTTTTTGTTACAGGGTCCCACATTTTAATGCTACAGCTCCAAATACGCATGGTTATTTTGTTATAAATTAATAATTCATTTTAAAATTAAAACATCGGTTCTACATCAAAGAGTTAATAAACTATCTTCTTGCCATTTATTTCTATATGCCATTTAATAATATTTATATAACAGTTTGTTTTGTAGTTGTTAATGTAGTTTTCTATATCCAGAGCAATGTTGCTTTGGCCTTTAGAACGGTGTTATTAGCAAATGTAGCGTTCAAGTTTTCTTCTGAGGATGGAGTACGTATATCAGCTATATATATAAAAGATATAGCAAATGTTAAAAAACGTTACACCAGCTTCTATTTTTTGAACTTCAGAGCTTTCAGCATAGTGCTTGATATAAAAATATCTGTCAATGATATAACTGCTATAATACATATATTATTCATTTATTTGGATCGTGGTTTTGTGGTAGTTGGTGTTTGGACTTGTGTGATATCAAATGTTTTTGTAATATCAAAATATGCCAATATATATACAAATCTTTTTCTTATCAATTTTAGATGAGACTTCATTCGACAAATCCTTTTCTTATCAATTTCAGATGGAGCTTCATTTGTTGCAAATCGATTTAGTTCAATTTAGGTTTTTGTTATTAGATGTACATGTTTTACTTTTTTTGTGTTATAAAACTTTTCTAGATTTGATTGATTTCATGCTATTAATGATCCCGAGCCCATTATGAAATAATGCAGTTGCTTTGTTTTTATTCATTAAGAGACAATAAGCAGTTGTTCTACTCAATTAAATAAATTTTGATTAACATTAAGGCCAGTAACATCGTTTGATTGTCACACATTGTGTTGATTTTCAGTTTATAAAACATATTGGAAAAGATTGTAACCCTATTTCCGGAGTTACTACTCTCAAGTCATGTATCTATATGGTATGTGTCTAATGGACTTGTGAATCATTACTTATTGTATTTGATTCAAATTTTCTGTCGAATTTTC